TAAATATGCATCACATTCTTTCTGCTAATCCATGTTTTCCAGCATGTTTTGTTCCTAAGTTAGACTTTATGAAAACTACATCTCAGAATTGCTGACCAAGACACTAGTGGGAGATTCAGGAAAATTGAAATACAATACAGTAAATTCTGAGGATCCAAGTTTGGGAACCAGTGGCATAGATGAAGACAAAGGTATTGCCTATTTTAACTTAGTGCCATCAAGAGTACCACTGAAAGACACACATTCTCCACATATTGCAAAATTTAGAAAAGCATCTCCAAATCTAGGGGCATCAGTAGATTGGAAATTACTAATAGATTTCTATCAGTAGACTATCAGCAAGAGATTCCAACTCCTGCTGGGGTAACAATAGCACCAATAAACAGCATTTCCGACTTTCCTACATTAGGCTGCTGACTTCAAGAAAACACAAAGGCAAAGCGGAGATGATTTATGCATGAAAGCCAGATTTATGCATGAATGTCAGCTCTAGCAATGACAAGTGATACAGTACTTGACCTGAGCACATGCTCAGAGGTGCCCCTTTCTGCAGTTCCAGACCTCCCTTCTTATGTTACTATTTTGCACTTGGTACCATTCGATGGGCCTCAGAGATCTAGTGAAAAAAACCACCAATGTTGATCCTGTCTGCCGAAGCCTGCCCATCCCTGCCATAATCTAGTGGTGAACCAGCAGCCAACCATTTAAATCCTTGCAGCAAGGAGCCTGACCCCGGCTTTTGCCCGTTGGCTTGAAAATGTCACAAAAGTTATTCTGACATCATTTGGCATTCATGCTGCCTCCTCTGTGTATTGCTTTGCGACATTTCCCCATATTTCTGCCACAAAGCCAAGGTTATTAGGTGTCTGCATTTTTTTCCAGCTTCAGGTTGTTTTTGAAAACAAACCATGCTTCCTTTATGTTACATTTGCTATAAATGTAACAGTACTAACAATAATGAAGACAAAAACAAGCAACATTTCCTGGGTATAACATTTTTTACTAGGAGCAGAAGCCTAAGTATTGTTTTTAACATGGCTGAGGAACCTGAGACACCTGAGGAATAGTGGGATTCCAGTTCCCATCAGCCACTAAAAAAACAGCTAATTGTGCGGGGTGAGGAGAGTAGGAACTCATTTGGAGGATCACTGCCCCTGCTCTGTTCTAGAAGATACATCAAAATGGTGAGAATCCTGTTAAACAACTTGATGCCACACAAGTCTGATGATATCATCAGCTGCAGCTGTTTCAGGCAAACTCAGTTTCCTACCCACCCTCAAGGTTCCAGGAGTCACTAGGAATCCCCTTCCTCCTGCGAAGCCTTTGAGAGTTTTTTGATCTATCTATCTATCTATCTATCTATCTATCTATCTATCTATCTATCTATCTATCTATCTATCTATCTATCTATCTATCTATCTATCTATCTATCTATCTATCTATCTATCTAATTTATTTTATTTCTATACCACCCATCTGGCAGCCAAGGCCACTCTGGGTGGTTTACAACAACTAAAAAATAACAATAGCATAATAACAAAGAACTCAACAACATCCATAAAATATAAAGGTGCAAAACAAAAATACCAAAAAAATACAATGAAAAGTATAATAAAACAAAACAAAATAAAGTAACATGAAAAGCATCACGGTAGATTAGATCTTACATTACTGGAAGCACTATTGCATAAGGATGTTTTTTCATCTGGAAAGGCTTGTCTAAATAACTAGGTTATATTTTAAAGGCACCCAGGGAAGGGGCCGGGCAGATTTTGGGTGAGAGGCTGTTCCACAAATTGCAGAACAACCACCGAGAAGGCCCAATTTCTGGTGGTCGTTTTCCAGGCTTCTTTTGGGGTCAGAACTCTCAGACGCCCTGCCTGAGATGATCTTACTGGACGGGGCACAGACCTGACAGGGAGAAGGTGCTCAGCTAGATATCGAGGTCCTAAATCAGCTACAGTTGCCAGAATGAGGAATGGAATTCTTTAAAGCCCAAAAACTGTCACTACATTTTTTTTTCAATATATAAAAGAAGTAGGGTGAATGCTAAACAATGTCAGAATGACCTGCTTGACATTTTCAAACGTATGGGTTAAAGCCAAGGTCATACTACTTGTTGCAAGGTTTTAAATGGTTGGCTGATGCACCAGGACTATCACCAGCAATTTTCAAACATTAAATAATTCCTTCCCAATTCTGTAGGTCCCTGAGATTTTTCAAGGGACAAGGAATCCTTAGGGATGCCAGGAACCTTCAGGGAGAGGGAATAGGACACTTTTAATTCCCTTTGAAACATCATGACAGTTCTGTGGCATAAAGTTGCTTAAAAGGATTCTGGCCAATATGTCCTTTCCACCACTCAGTGGAACAACATGCTTGAAGGAGTGTTCAATGGATTGTCTTCACACATCATGGGTGGCTTGTGGTCTGAGAAGGGGAATGTTCTGCACCATTTCATGGTGAGCCCTTCCGCCAACACACATGTGCTGCTGCTTGAAAAGGCACATCGGACTGTACCTCTGCCCCTGTGTCATGCAGATCAATGGGCTGCCTCTGATACCCATGTGTTCACAGAGCAGTGTTTGAAAATGTTCATTCATTGTTTCATGTACACAGACAGGTTGTCCTAGCAGTCAGGAATCTTGTACAAACATTGTTCACAATCATGTGGGAAATTTACTGTAAAACACCTATTGGATATACAGTACCTTCTTTTTCCTATATTATGCCAGGTGCATGGATGTCAGGGGCTGAGGTTCAGTGGTGAAAGTAAGACTGGGCTAATTTACTGTAAAACACCTATTGGATATACCTTCTTTTTCCTATGTTATGCCAGATGCATGGATGTCAGGGGCTGCGGTTCAGTGGTGAAAGTAAGACTGGGCCCAGCTGAACAACTCTGCTTCTCCCTCCCTGAACCTGCTGCAAAGCCAGCTCTATCATTAGGCAGAATGAAGGGATCATCTCAAGCTGAGAGTCTTGGAGCATGGGGTGTGCAGTGGTGCCATGTTACTCTGTATCTCCCTCTGCTGGACAACAGAGCTGGACATGCCTCATCCTGCTGAGTCTCCCTAAAATAATTTACTGTCTCAGGTTCAATCAACAATGATCTGTCCCATCACTACTCCTGAAAAGTATAAGATTCAACTACTGTACTAATCTAGAACTTGAAAAAGTTACTTTTTTGGACTACAGCTTCCAGAATCCCCTGGACAACCTGGAGGGAGTTGCAGTCCAAAGAATAACTTTTCCAAGATCAGTCACAATCCAATCAGCTTCTGTGCAAGAATAGGAAGAGTGTGCTATCTTGCTCCAACATTTGCAGAGGGTTTAAGTGAATCATCACTGCAATGGGTTAAGTAATGGGGTTTGAATAAAAATTCCTGGTGTGCGAGCACTTACCATTTAACTACAAGAGAAAGTAAGATTACTGTATAGTCCTTCCTATGTCATTGGGGTAAGAGCCATAGGACACAATGCAGGCAACATACTTCTGAGTATGTATTCCAGATGTCAATGGAACTTAACTTTCTGCCAGCCTATAGAAATCTGCTCCTCAAACAGCCCGTGTGGCCTTGTCCAGTCAACATGTTCTAGCCTCATCAGTCTGAAAAGACTGGACGGATGATGGCAGAATCTGGACACTGTAAAACCAGTTACCATACGAATCCTTACTGCCTTGGGGTTGATGACAAGTCTGGATGCCCTTCTAAGGTTCCTTCCAGTTCTGTGTCTTTATGGTTTTAAGACTGGGGTTTATAGAGAGGGTAGGAATGCTAAATTTAGACATGATGGTTGGATAATGAAGTGGTTTTTAATCAGTTGCTTAGAACTATTTGAAAGCAAGGCTTCATTTTTCAGAATATGTTTCCACAGGGTGTGGGAACCAAAACAGAGTCAAGAGAAAGGAACAAGTGGAGCCATTGTGTTTTGCTTTTTAAAGGAAAATGCATTGGGCTCTGACTGGGTCAAGAATTCCTGGGTACACATCCTAATATGGCAAAGTATTTGGAATAATGTCAAGCCCTATGAAGGGCCACTGATTTTTAGAGTAGAATCCTATGCATGTTTACTCACAAGGAAATCTGCAGAAGCTGCAGAATGTGCTCCAATGTAAGCATGCAAGGAACTACAATCTTACTGTCATAAATATCACTGGTTTGGGGACCACTCTTATCCAGAGTGCCCACTCAGTGCAGAAATTATAATTTTCACAAGAGGACATCTTGATGAAGAGACAGACAGTCCAGAGCCTGATGAGAAATAACTGAACTGCTGATTAAAATGAAAAACACCATTGTTCTCATTTGAGATAATTTATGCCCTACCATATTTTTAGACTCAGGTAATAAAGTGGAGCTCAGTCCTTCATGTTACCCACACATATATGGGAAGCAGGACAGCTCCTCCTCCTTCTCACCAACATCATTCACACAGCCACGCAAGTGCTGGCTCCACTTGCTTGCTCATTTTCCCTGGTTGGCAGTACCAGCCCAAATCTGCATTGCTACCCAGGGGATTAGACAGGGCAGGGCCAGGGCTTGAGCTAGTTTCTTTGAATTGCCTCTTAGATGACTGGGGCTGAAGGCAACATCAGAGGGTGCCTCGCAAAGGTCCCAGGCGAAAGTCCCTCCTACCAAAAGCAGCACCTGATGAGCTGCCTGCCTTTTTGGAAGTGGAAGATTTCTACAGGCGTCCCTGCGTGTCAGCTGCTGGTGCTGGCCTTAACCTACGATACGGTGGGTTGAAGAACTTTTTTTTCAGTACAGGACCCATTAGGGAAGAGGCTACATGCCAGCCAGAGGCAGATCTAAGGTGGCACCTGCTGTTATATGCCATCAAATCACTTTGGGCTTATGGCAAAGCAGGTCATCTGAGTCCTGGTCCAACACTCTGTCCAGTACATTGTACTTCTTCACAAGCGTGGAAAAGCCTCAAGGTCTAAGGGTGCCTCAACTGCCTAAAAACAGGAGGCCAAGCAAAGAGGGCGCAGCCCAATGGCCATTTCCTCACCAAGCATAGAAAGCACACCTCAGTCCTGGGCTGCCAAGCGGAGTTCAGCGCCATCCGAGAGCAACGCCGGCTGCCCGGCCCTTAATCTGCTCGTCGGGATGACGTTACCCTTGTTCCATGGGTACGCTTAGCAGCACCCAGGGCCCCCCCCGCCCCACAGTGCCCAGCCAGCCCGAGAGGGAGGCAGAGGAATCGACCGGTCCAGTCCCGGGTCTGGGAGCGAGGCTGAGGACTGCACCACTTTAGGAAGCAGGTGGAGGGAAAGCCCATTGTCAAATGTCACCTGTGGGAAGGAGACTTCGGGCGAACAGCGAACGAGCCCAGGGGTCGCACAGCTGCCGATTACACCTTTCCTCCCTGGAGGGAATTTTCTCAGCGGTCGGGCGTTTTGCGCACGGTAGAAAGACCCGGTCAAACAACAGCCGTTCCCCCCAGCCGTGAAGAG